CGCCAAGCAACCCTTTAGGCTCGGGGTATGGGTCGGCAACTTGGCTGTCCGTTTTGGCATTACAATGGGAGGAAACCAATCAGAAATTGGAAGCGATATTGTCAAAGGTTGGAGGTATTGAGGACCGAGTCTCCGAGTTGGAAAAGAAGAGTGCACGTTATTGGGCATACACTGGAGACTGGAACCGGGTGGAAAGACAACTCTATGGGCGTCAGGATACTCTCTTGACTGCCCAACTTCCACGATTCCCCAGCGGTATTTGCCCACCTCAAGTCCGGTGCTTCCCACCATTGTGCGCCCACTTGCCGACGTCCGTTGTTGCTACGCCCTTTGCTCCGGCTCCCCACATTCCTGTTGTTGCTACGTTGCCTACCACCACTGCGATCGTTCCTGCCATTGCTGTTTCCGTTACTGCTCCCATTGTCCACAGCTCCGAGGCGGCAGATGCAGCCACTGTTTACCCACAGTGAGCAGTTTGACATATATGGTTAAATTCTCAACTTTTGATCCAACCTCTGTAAACATTATTTTTGGATATATCTTTTGGGTACAGATACATTTTCATTCCGTCTTTTGTGTATGCTTTGCGGAATGTCATTTTCTTTTGTGTGGATATTTATGACATGGGTGTTGGATTTCCTTTTGCTTTGTCTAGTTCCATTGTTCATTTCAGGTACAATTTGCTTGGATGATTTTTGGTAGTGTTAAAGTTAAAAGGATGTAGGCCCTCCTTTTGTTTTTAAACCCAAACACTTTTTCCCTTGCACCCAACCCGTAACCTTTTGGTCCCTTTGGCAACAATGGGGACATTGTTATTATCAAGTTTGGGGGGATGTGTCCAAAAAGAATATATATATATATACCTTCGAAAAATTGGGAGGTATGAAAAAAAAAAGAAACCAAAACAAAAAAATAGAATAATCGGTCTTCGGAAAATTGGAAGACAAAAATAAAAAGCCCGGTATTCCAAAAAGGGCAAAGTTATGCCAAGATATGGGTCACGAACTTTTTCCAAGTACTCAAAAGTGAATCAATGAGAACTTTTGCTTCAAACCCTTTTGTAGTATAGGATAAGTTTGGGGGAGGGATACACGCTATCATTGCCAAAAACACTAACCCGAAAGCTCTACTGATTAACGGCAACACTACGAAGATCAAGCAAAGAAATTGTACATCATCTTTACTAGACGAATTTCCAACACCTTCCGTAAGTATTTTGTTCTTGTTCCTTTCTTTTTATGTCTTTTTAATTATTTTCTTTTACTTGAGGACAAGTAATACCTCAAGTTTGGGGGTGTGATAACTCTCATTTTGTGAGAGTTATTTGTTGTTCAATACCCTTATTTTATTGTATCTTTGGTACCCATTTTGCTCATATCCTATATTTTTGGTCCAAATTATGTAAAGAGGTGATGAAAGGTTTAGAATTTAATTATTTTCTAAAAAACTCATTATTGTTGGTAAATTTTGCATCTAGTTGGATTTGAACAAAATTATGATATTCATATTCTTGGATATTATTG